AATTGAACGAAGGGGTGACTCCGGACAGCTTGCCGCATCAGCTCAGGATTTTGGGAACAACCGTCCTTGTCTCCGTGCCTGGCAGAGCACCGCCATGTCTGCGATGCAGGCAAGTGGGACACGTCCGAGTAAAGCCCCTCGATGTGTTTACGTGTCTTGCAAGTAGCGTCAAATGCGCGAGTGCACGATGCCCATATCTCGAGCGGCCCTTGGAAGCAAATGGCGGTGCAACACTGAAATGAGCGGCCCTTGGAAGCGAATGGCGGCGGAGCACGCGCTCGCGGCACGTGTCTCGCGCGTTTCCACAACAATGGTTGGCGGTACTTGTAAAAAAGGCCTTCATCAAGGGGCTTTACGTCCGAGGCCAGTGCCGCGCCCCCTGGTGTAGCGTATGCCGAAAATTCGGCCACGATCCCGAAGATTGTATTCAAACGTACGCCAACCGAACGGCTGCATCTCTCCAGATTCCTACAGAATACTTGATGGACGCAGAAGAAACAGCCCAAACAGAGGTTTCGGCAGAGGTCAGTAATGCTCACAGCACAGCCCACGTAGAGGCAGTCTCACGGACTGAGAAGTGCGAAGACAGGTCGGCGTCGTCACACTCTGCAACGAAGGAGACAGTGAGCAATGTTGTCATCTCCAACTCGTTCAGTGCTCTTGTCTCTGAAGACCAAGCTGAAGACCAAGCTGAAGAGCCAGTGAAGTCAGACGAAGAGGCGTCCGAAATGGATGAAACCAGCGACAAAGAAATGCTTGGGAAAAGAAAGGGAGAACAAATTCTATGCACGTCAGATCCTGGCTACACATCTCAAGGGGAGAGGGCGGAGTCAAAAAGGAGGAGGAAGAGGCGAACAAAATCGTCATCTCCCAAGGCTCCCATCACCGAGCAGGATTCCATCCTGTCCGGCCACGATGACTTGAAGAGTCAATTAGTTGGTGTACTTTGAAATTCCTACGGCTGCACTACAAAAGGACGCTGACTGACCCGACGGAGATATTCATGGTTTTAGGCCCACATGCGGTATGGCGGTCAAGAGTAGACATGACAGAGTGCACACTGTACCCTTAACCTGCGTGGCGACACTTTGCTAACGAATGGCACTGGACTATTTGAGCTTTAGAACCAGTTGAAATAGAAAAACAATCTGAGAAACACTCTGCTGGGAAAAGGTCAAAAGGTAGCACTAAATTTTTATGCTTCGAGAAGACTATCTGTCGCCTTTGCAAGTGCCTCACTCTAAAATATTTTTTTAAGATCTTCGAGTGTAATACACATCCAGAGCTGAGGTTACTGCACTCTTTAACAGTGCTGTAGCCTTTAACTGATTTACTTTGCAGCTGGGTCATTGAATGCAATGTCTAAATTATGTAACGTTCCTTTTTTTGCTCTGACATATGTATATACCTCATTTTTTTCATTCTTGCTACTTATGTTTTTAACCTGTAAATAAACAATTGCTAAAAAAAAAAAAAAAAAAAAAGGGATCGGTGGCCGAGTGGGCTGAAGCGCACACCCAGCTCGACGCGCGTGGAGCGAAAGCTCGCGCTGCAGAACCGAGGGATCCTGGGTTCGAGCGCCACCCCTGCCCGTTTCGATCTGGATGAGCATCGTACCGGCTTGCGGTCGTGTATCACTACTGCGTGGTGCACGTTAAAGACCCCAGGCTAGCGGTTGTACTGCACTGGCTAAATTGCTCATCTACAGCGTGTGACTCGTCGCAACTTTAATGGCAGGCCAACTACACGCTGTATAAATATCCCCACAACCCCAATTATTATTAGTGTGCCCAATTGTCTTACCACGGCTCATTTTCTGTGGTCTCCTTCTCTGCCTAGTACACCTCCAGGGAAGGTTTTGTTCATGCTTTTGCCCTCCACCTCCTCATCTCCACCGCTCAAGTACCCTTGAGCAGCGCTATCAGGCTTACCCGGTTCTTGCCTGGCACCTCCAGCGAGTTTGAGTCAAAACCATAGCATTCTCATAGTCTTCACAACCGGCTTATTCACCTGGTACCTTTTTTCTGGTACACAAGGTATCGCAGACGGCGATGGGCTCAGTTTTTCTCCGGAAGTATGTAGGTGCATCTTTGCTATAGCGCTTTGGCTTAGGCTTTTCTGGCTTCAAACAATGAAAAGGAGCCTTTCGAAGGTTCGAAAGAACCAAAATGGCAATTGCCATGGCAACAAAGACCGATCAGCCAATCGCCTTGCGAAGTTTTGGTCGTCTGTATGCTAGTATCTTCGTGTCCAGCTAGCAGGCAGAGTTGGCATGATGTTGCTTTCCCAGGATCCAGTAACTTTAGGCCAAAGTGCTTACTCTGCTACATTTTTTTTTAAACGAAGTGTCTAGCGTTACGTCCGACGTAACCCAAGTTGCGTCCAAATCTTCGCCTTCCCTAGGTTCACGGGGGAGAGAGAGGAGGGCGGGGGGTAGGGTTAGGTATACGCGTTTCAGTGCTCCGTCCGGACGTAACGCTAGCCACAGTGTTCTTTAAAAGGCGAGGAATTCGCAGCAATATTACACCAAAAGTTAATTTTGCCCCATTAATACTGAATCTAAAAGATCAGACTCCGCCATGCTGCCGGATCGTTACTGCAGGATTCTCACTAAATTTTTGAATGTTGCATTGTATAATCTTCTGATAAAATTTTGATTGTCGCATTGAATAATCTACCATTCCATTTAAGCTTTGTACCAAACATCGACAGCACTCTGAAGTTTCCCCGATATTTCTCATTGGCTGCATGGCCTATGTTCGGGCGGGTTAGTGAGCTCCGTTGAGTGTGCTTCTTTGCCTCGCACTGGTACACTGCAGTGAAGCGAAACCCGCAGAATTGACATTTAATTGACATTTAGATTTTGCGGATCTGCTTCGCCGCAGCGCACGCCTGCTATAGGGAAAAATAACTCCTCCAGAGCGGGTTAATGCATACACCTGTGATTGGTAGTTAAGCAATTAAGAAAAAAGGCAATTATTTGATGTGTACTGCAATATACAGAGGCAGCTCTAGTGTTGTTGAAAGATGTGCTTTAAGAGTTCTGCTTTTATTCGGCGTGCTTTAGGAGCTTCGCTTTTAGTAGAATTGTTGTAGGAGACGTATGAGAGGCGCTTGCATGCTGCCTCTCGTATGTGAAAGTCGGGATGCACTTTTTGCGGTTCTAGTGCTGCTGCGGTCCTCCGTGCACTCCGCTGAGCGTGTCACGCTTGCCATTCCCGCTTCTCAGATGGAAGGCGGATCATCTGCATACGCATTCACATTGGGCAATTTAGTAGTCGAAAAATTCTAAAAACAGCTACTTGCTAGTAGCGCTGCGTATGCTGTTTTGTGACACGCTTACACAACTCTGATGAGTTGGATTGGGAAGGAGTGGCGATCGCTCGCTTCTGCATGTGACCGAGAGCGGTTCCAACATCCAAGCTTTATGCCTCATTATCTCCGTCATCCATGGCATCAGGTCAGCTGAGAGCTGTGCCACAACTGCACTCTGCGCTGCAGAGCGATTCCGAGCTACTCTTGCCGTCCTACCCTCGCTCGCACACTCTCGTCCACGAGTGTCTGCGTGGTGAACATCTGCAACGCCTCTCTCTTATAACCCATACTTCTGCTGCCCCATCATGATCAGGACTTGTCAACCATTGAGGCTTTTTTCCTTCTGCTGTAAATCTAGTGATGTTCTAGAAAGCATCGCTAGATAAATCTAGTGATGTTCTCAATTCAGGTCGATTTGATGCAGAGAGTCGCGTGACTGGCCACGTGACGTGACGCATTACTTGACAGCATATTTTGGCACCGTGACATTACGTGACCACGTGACATATGATTAACCATGATGCCAATACAAAGGTGCCATGAAAACCCACAATTTCTCATACATTGCAGTTCGGTATATGACAATTTGGTCACTGCATAGAAATGCAGATGCCAATTTTAATTTCTAAAATATTCATTTTGTAATACAAAAAAAAAATTACCGTGAACTGTTTTGAACCGGTTACCGTTGTATTTTTTCCGGTTCAGCTCCGGTTCAGTTCCAAGATGGCGGCGAAGATTTTGGTTCGGTTCAGCTCCGCTTCGGTTAAAAATAACAGTTCGGTTCCGGTTTTCGGTTCGGTTCCGGTTCGACACTCTGCACATATAGCCTAGGGTGCTGCTACCCCATCATGATCAGGGCTTGTCAAGCGTCACATTGAGACTTTTTTTCCTTCTGCTGTACCATTTCTTGAGGTAGAAATAAACTATTATTATTAATACTATTATTATTGTTATTATAATATTAAAATGCTCTCTCCACTCTGTAGGCTGTGTTGTGAGACCCTTTGCATGCGTGACTGTCACAGCTCCCTTTCTAGTCCACCATAACACAACGTTTGGACGGAATCAGTGCATATGTTAACACGATCTACTAAAGCGTGTTTCAGGAATTCCGTTTTGCATCGTGGCTTACCAGGCTGCGCACAATCAATTTGATGACCTCGCCTCAGAACGGAGTGTAAGATGTAAATGGTTTACTACAACTCGCTACTGAACACTCAAAATATGTTTTAAATTTATGCACCGTTCCTTTAAATGTTTGCACCTGTTGAGAACTGGCAGTAATCATAACCTCGCCGCTCGTAATTCGATTTCAAGTCTGCGACATTTTCAGTTGTAAGATCAAATTGATGTAGGACCGACTGTGGGAAACTACAAGTTCGTTGACAAATCCCAAAGCACGTCTTTCCATCCGTTGCTCTCTGTTTAAGTTAAGGATATTTTCGATTCCTGCATGTTCAGAGGCTTCAGGAGACCATGGGAACTGACAGAAGGCTACAGTGACTGCTACTAACTGGAAGCAGACGGAAATTCCAAGGTGTATCAAACGTTCTGAGCAACCTTGGTCACTTAGCACAGGCCTTTTCCATTGTCTTTCAGGACTTCATCAACATGACCAGTTTCGAAGAAGGTGGGTCCTTCCTAGAGCTCATGGCGGAGCTCTCACTACTCGAACGACTGAAATCCCATGGCGTAGAACTCCTGATGAGCAAGATTCAGACCATGCTCTGCAACAGTGAAGTGACCACAGATGCTCCTTGTACGGCAAGTGCTGACTCTGTCTGCTGGCTTGTGGACTCGTTGGATCGCTGGAACGCTATCTTGTACCGGTGCGGGTTTGGACTTCGCGAAGAGAAGCCTGGAAGCTTGACCTGCATAACCCTTGATGTGCACAAGGAGGGAGAACATTTAGTCCATGATGAAGGCATTCTGGAGGCAATGTGTTTTTTCTACCAGCTTTTCAGACTTCATCACTGCGTCTGTAGGCTGACGATCGGAAATGTGGACTCCTTTAGGAGCTTGTGGTATTGGCTTCCAGTGTTGCAACTGTCGCTAATAGTCTCAAGGGAGCTGCATTCACTCGAGGTAGTCTCGCTTCCGGACGAACGGGGGAGGTGCCGTGTCCTTGAGGCAGCTGCTGAGATTGCCACTCTTCAGGAATTGAAGTGTACCACGAAGTTTACGAGCAAATCGAGCCTCTGCAGGATGTTACAGCCTTCTGGTCCTCGTCTAACCGAACTCGTTTTGATCTTCGGAGAAGCTGAACTGTCAGCGGGAGGCTTTTTTGGTTTTCTGGGGTCGTGCTCTTCACTAAAGATTCTTCGACTCGATGGCAATGAAATACGCGATATTGGGCCTTTGTTCAGTCTCATGGCCAGCAACAGAACTATTGCTCAATTATCGCTCAAACTTCTTAATGGCGATATGAACTACATTGAGGAGGGGATCGCATCTGTCCTTCGCAGGAACGTTGTTCTCAAACAACTTGAACTGTCGTTGTACGACTCAAGTGCAAGTCTTATTGCGGAGTCTCTCGAAGTGAACACTGCGTTAGATTCAATTTCTTTGGAGGGGTTTTGCATCACAGACATGTCGCCTTTTGCACGGATGCTCAGAATCAACAGAACACTCCGCAAGCTGAATTTAGCCCATGTCCGTTCTGACGAGGACATTCCTGCGTTGGTCGAAGCTATTAGGTCGAATGAAACACTGGTGGAGTTATGTCTTTGGGGTAGTAGTACCTTAAACCGAAGTCTTGTAGAAGCTCTTAGGTACAACTCGACACTTGAGTTTCTTCATCTTAGGCAGATTAGTGCCTCGAGTGACCAAGGGCGCCTGATGCAAGCTGCGCTCGAACCATGGGCCCTTGAACGGTTGACTGCAGTCTGGGACGGTGGATGCTGCTTTGATCTGGCCCATGCGTTGCAATCAGGAGCAGCTATGTCTTCACTCAACCTTCTCTATGAGAACAACCACAACTCTCCGACGTTCCATGGACTTGCTGAAGTTTTTGAGGCACTTGCTTTAAACCAGACCGTAAAGTTCTTGTCGTTAAGGATGGGTGCGTCCAACCTTCTTCCTAGAAGTGTCACTCATAAGCTGTGTCTCGCTCTTGCTAGTAATAATGCACTCGAGAGTCTGTCGCTCTGGATTAAAGACCGCAAAGATGTGGCTACCCTGCAGCTCATTTGCGAGGGCTTATCTCAAAATTCGCATGTGCGCACTGTGCGAATTACCGTAAGCGGGTCTGACCCCGCGGCTCTACAACACATGGCAACGCTTTTAGGGAAGAATAAGTCCATAACATCCCTAGTCTTTCAAGTTCAAGTTGAATTAGTCCAAGATTTCAACCTTTCGAAGTCGCTATCAAAGGATTGGAGTGCTGAATGTAGGGTCCTCGCAGAGGCAATTTCAAGAAGCGACTACTTACTCGAAGCTGACGTCAAAGTGAAAGATTACGATTGCTCCGTCAACTACACTCCTGATCTGACGCTTACGGTTTTGCGCAATCTCTCGAGTGTCAGCAGGGCTGTTCGGTTTGCGTTGACACCGTCTACAGACAAGCAGGCGGCAGCGACGTTTCAGAAGTACCACCGCAGTCCTGTACTCTTCCACAAGCTGAAAGAGGCGAAGATAATGTCGGACAAGGAAGCAGCCAGTTTGGTTCGGTCAGCGGCGAACTTCATCGCTCGCCACTTCTTCATTGTGACCGCAGTCGTCAAGCGGACACTGCAGTGCGAACGGGCCAAGACAGCTGCGTTACAATTGACGGACCTCAACGAGGCGTGCCTCCTCAAAGTAGTATCATACCTTAGAGTTTGCGATGTTCAAAGTTGAAGGAATCGCTCAGCTCATGACTGTGGAGAGGGATGGATAGTAGCAATAGTAATAAATGCCTTTTAGGCATTAAAAGCCAAATCAATAGTTCTCACTATTGTTTGTTGTTTCCCGTGGGCTATACAGCGATTCTCATTCTTGCGCAGTAGCGGACGGCCATTCATTTTGACGACTGATATAGAACGCAGAAAACGCAGTAGAAGTCCAAGGTTGTGAAGCTACTTCCTCACTAGCTGGTGCATTGTACTGATAACTTCACATTGGGCCTACGAACTTGCTCGTGCTGAGGGACAACGGGGAATGTTAACATGAGTACCGCGAGAGCGAGAAGTGTCGTGCATCGCATACCCTTCCATTCTGTGCTGGCTGCTCGGAGGAAGCTTCATTCCACCGTTATTTCTTGAAGACACTTTATGTATTAATTTTTGTACTAAACAACAAAGTAGTCATGCCTCATCAGGCTACATGAACAAAAATCAAGTTTTCCACCTGTTAAGAAGTGGATGAGGAGGAAAGCCCGGCCATGAGAAGAGGAAACATTGCTGTACACTACACTGTATCCAGCGTCGCGAGTGAGCTTGGTACGCTGGGCCATGCTGGGCCACCAGACTCTTGAACTTTGCATATCAAGCCATTTAGTGGTTGAGCGAAAAATGTGACTTGTCGGTCAACCGTTCATAGTCGCGGCATCCTGTCGACAATGTAACCAAAATGCTACTAGCTGCTTTCTCGGCTTGTAGCCGTGATATTGAGATGTTTGTGTTTTCGTCTGGAATTCTTGTGACGATCGGTATTCTGCGCGTCGAAACTAGAAAACGTTTTCTATTTTTCTCTGGATGGAGCAGTCCTTTATGCCATGCCCTCCTTGTTCTTTCCAGGGCATTGCAATGGGGAGCGTGGAACACGATGAGCCTTTCCATGATTTCATTGCCTGCATTCGATCACATCAAGACTATATGAAGCCCTGTAATGTCGAGTATCATATCAACAACGTCAAGGCTGAACTTTATGAGAACGGAGCAGACATAGACGCTTCTTGCTCAGCGAACCCAGGCTGCTCCGCCTGTTGGCTCCTGGATTCGTTGGATCCGTGGAACGCCATCTTATTCCAGGGTGGAATTGGACTCTATGAAGACAAGCTAGGCAGCTTGGCGTGCATAACCTTTCAGCTGTCTTACTCAGAAGTTTACGGCGATGAAGGTCTCATGCTGGAGTCTGCGTGTGTGTTCTACCGGCTTTTCAGCTCGCATCGCTGCCTCCAGAGGTTGGTCCTCAGCGACGTGTATCCTCTTCTGGAAGAGATCTATTGGCCCGCTTTGCTGAAGCTGTCGCTGGAGGCGGCGAAGGGACTGCATTCGATTGACGTGGTTTCCAGTCTTGACAGAGAAGGAAGATGTTGTGTACTGGACACCGCTCCGAACGTTAGTACCCTACGAGAGGTGGCATGTACGATCAAGCCCAGGATCCCAGATTACCTCCACGAGACCCTTCGGGTTAATGGCTGCCATCTCACCAGTTTGAAGCTAGGATGTGCTGCTGTGACGGCAGAAAGTCTTTTTACTAGCTTGAAGTTCTGTTCTTGCTTGAGATTGCTGGAGCTTAGTTCCTTGGAGATGGACGTCGCTGTGTTCATCGACTTTATGGCCAACAACAGGACCTTAACTCATCTAATTCTGTCCGAGGTCTCGTCCGGTACGGGAAATGTTGAAGCTGGGGTGGCATCTGTTCTTGAAAAAAACACTCCTCTTGATGTTTTGGAGCTGTCGATGCGTGGTGGTGATGCCACCCACATTGCCGATTCTCTCTGCACAAATTCAACGCTGAAAATTCTTTCTCTGGAGAACTTTGGCAACCTTGCCATTGAACGATTCTCCAGAGTGCTCATGGTTAATGAAACCTTAATCGAGCTCTGTTTATGGGCATATTTCTCTTATGTGGACGCTTGTTCATTGGTGGAAGGCATTTTGTCGAATAGAACGTTAAAGCATCTGCACATTTCTACCAAGCACGCCGAGTCAATTCTGCGACTTGTGGAGGCGCTCAGGCTGAACACGACACTTTGTTCGCTTCATGTCGACGATATTTCCACGCACGAAGAGGAACAGCGGCTTGTCGAAGTGGCAGCCCTTCAACCTTGGGCCTTGGAACGTTTAGTCACGACCTGGTATGGCCACTGCTGCCGCGATCTTGCACGCACTATAAGCATCGGCGCAAATCCGACTTCTCTCGAGGTTTTATATCCGATGTACCAAAATCTCCACAGATATGACGGACTTGTTGAGCTCCTCACATCCTTATGTCCTAATGAGTCTGTCTCCTCCTTCTCTCTGACGGGCTATTATCCCTTCGGGGAACTTGTTTCCCGTCATCTGGGGAGACTTTTTGCTTGCAGCAAGACGCTCGAGGTTGTTCAGATTTCCACACTCTGCTTGGAAGATTACGATGACGAGTCCCATCTGCAGTTGCTCTGCGAAGGCCTTGTTCGGAACTCGTCCATCCAAAGCTTGCAACTTGTCTTCATCGAAAGTAAACCGAACATCCTCAAGCACCTGGCAGTGGTCGTGGAGAAAAATAGGCATCTAAGTTGTCTTGAATTGGACATTGAGGTTCTGGTAGACAGAGATGATGACGAGTTGCTGTTCGTTGTGGCTGAGTGGATGCAGGCGTGCACTCTTTTCTCCAACGCGATTAAAACAAACAGGTACTTACTTAAGGCTAATCTGAGGGTCTTCGCGAGTTACAGCATCATCGAGTTTGCATCCGACTACCGTCTCACAGTTCAACGCAACCTGTGTGCTCTGAATCGAGCCGCGCGCTTCGTGCTGGCGCCGGCCGCGAACAAGCGGGCGGCAGAAGTGTTCCAAGATTACGAGCGGAGTCCAGGACTGTTTCGTGCCCTGAAGGAGACTGAGAAGACCAGTGACTTGGACGTTGTTCGTATGGTTCGGTCGGCCTCCACCTTCATTGCCTGCCACTTCTTCGTCGTTGCCGGCGTCGTCAAGGAGAGAATGCACTGCGAAGCTGACGGCAAGACCGGGTTGCAGCTGGGGGACTTGGACGAAGTGTGCATGCTCAAGATTGTGTCTTACCTCAAAGTTTGCGACATTGTGAGTTGATGTGCCTTCTTTTTTTTTTTTTTTACGGAATTGACAGTTTGAGATGAATTTCCCAAGGCTGTGTTTCATTTTAGTGTTAAGGATGATTCTTGTGAGACTGTGTGCAATAAAATAGATATATTATTTTCGCTCATGAACATGTTTGTGAAGTTATATCGTCTTTCGAAAGTGTCCGATTGCGTGATTAGATTACCCATATGAGCGATTAGAAATTACAATTTTATGACGCCGAATTGGTCGATAAGGATATAAACCCCCTTTCCACGCGATTCATTGTTCCAGTGATACTTGTTGCAGCTTTCCATGCGTTTCAGATTCTTTTGCAAAACATTTGACTTAGTAAGGTACCTGTTATTAATTGACTCTGTAACTGAGAGCGAGACCAAAACGAGGGCATTCACTGTCTAAGAAATGTCTGTGCACGTTAGCCAGCTGCCTGCAAACATGGCCACTTGTTTCCGCTTTTGAGAAGCACTTAGGGCACCGGAGTACGATTGCTGACAACCTGAGCTCTTAGCGCCTCCCCGCGTCTGGAGAGGCTGTGGTGAGGATAACATGCTAGGTAGCGGCCGTGATAGGGAGTTTTAGTATAGCGCACGCTAAAGCTTTGCGTACATAAAAAATGGCGTCGTCACCACTGCGCATGTGCAGAACGCTAACCACGTTTTGCTCTTTGCGTGCAATATTTTTTTTTGGAAATTGCGTGCATATGCAAAGAGTCTGCGCTCCTCCAAAGAGTATTCGTGATTAGAAGTTGGCTAAAGCCAAGACGAGCACGTTTAAAAAATGGCGGCTCCCAGGACCATGGCTGCGGCCGCTTTGGCGGCGTCGTGAGTGGGACGTCGGCGGCATCCTCGCAACTGTGACTTTCAATACGGGAAGACATTGCACTCGGTTTAGAAAACCCAGTAAGGTGGGCAACGATCACCAGCAACTTGATGCTTCCGACGCGCCTGAGTTCGTCACCGATCTGGAATCGATGTCATCAACAGCGACCAATCCAACGTCATCTACAGTGTCGACACCGGGCATAAAAATTGAGACGTTTTCAACTCCCTGTAACGCCGAATTCGAGCGCAGCTCTTGAGGAGGAAGAGTGTAGGGTATGCCCCTGCTCGTCATATCTGTCTTCTCCTCCCCTCCTTTCCTCCTCCTCCTCTCGAGGTATTTCGATTTTGCGATATACCGTGCTAAACAACCTGAGAAATAATATATATATATATATATATATATATGGGTGGTTTAATCTCAAATCGTGCAGGCAAAAAGGGTCGAATTTTTAATTTCGATGAAAAAAATATATGTTATGGCGCCGTTTCTAAAACCGCAGTCGCCACAAATCGCAAGCTCGTCGGATTTTTTGTTCTTGACTTACGAATTTTTAAAGAGGCCGCGGCGATAAGCAGTGTTTTTCACACCCGTCGTGGGTCGGATGTTTCGCTTGATCTCCCGCCATAAATTTTCAGTCCACATTATATTAACTTTTTTGAAGCACTCTGTGGACACATTTAAAAGGCTCCAATACCATGAAATAATTTTAGGCGTTTTGCTTTTTTTCTGTAAAAATGTCAAAAACACCTCCTCGGTCAATTGTTGACGAACTTTGACAATTAATTACTGGCGATCTACTTGGGCTACACCAATATTTTTATGTCCACGGAGAGCCCAAAACATGCTCTTTATATGTATTCTAAAATAACTCGGCTGTATAAAATATCTTTTGCGTTACATTTACGTTAATAATATGCAAAAACCAAAAAGTGCCAGTTTTGAAATTGATTTTCTCAAAAAACCCATTTTTTACTTTTTTTATTTTTTTGTTCAAATGTAGATATGCTAGTTGTCTACACAAAAATCAAGCCTAGAAAGTGTATATTTTGTTTGTATGTTTTATATTTAGGCCTCAATATCGGAAAAAAGACGTCTTTGTTTTGCAAGACCTAAGTCAGACATGCGTCTATGAATTGTGAAAAAGTTTTCTCGAATTTTCTTTTGCATTTTGTAATCAATTATAAACGTATTTTATGGTATTGAATATTTATGTATGTTTTGATAAGAGCGGGAACCAGGAGATACATATCTAACCAAATCAGCAGGCCTAGTATACTTTCAATAACCAAAAGGCACAAACGTTGTATTGTTTCGATTTATAAACCTTTCACAGTAAACTAGCACGACTAGCTATTAGCTGTCATATTACTAAGACAAAGAAAGTCACCACATCGTCGATATATTATATACAATTCTTTCCGAAACCAAACACTGGGGGTTTGTTCACCGCACATCGCACAGATCACCAGGGAATGTCCTTTCACTTCCGTAATACACAAAAGTGGTGACACAGAAACGGTCCGAAACACACAGAGAGTGTGTCATGGAGAGGGGTAGGAAATAAAAATAAATAAAAAGGAATTAAATTGCCCAACTCCGATCTTAACGAAAATTGCGTAAAAAAAAAAGTATTTAGGTTCGAGCGGTGGCAAGGCGATAGGTCCACGCCTGGTGGAGAGTCAGACAAAGAACTCGACGGCACGTAAAGGTAAAAAAAAAAAAAAAAAAATCTATAATTTAATAAAGACGGGAAAACTCAGCCGCACATGGCAAGAACAAAAACCAACTCCCCCGGGCATTCCCTAAACGGGACGCAACCAAATGCGTGCGAACACGCTCTCTACATCACCGCCAGACCGCTACGCCATGACGAAATAAACCCAACAACTGAACAGTGCTAACAAACAGTTAGTAAAAAAACATTGAAAAAAAAAAACAAAAAAAAAAACGTTCAGAAAAAACCGCACCCGATAAACAAAGTTCAGCGGGGCGAAGAAACACACACGAGTCGGTCCCACGACATTGAAGTCTGGCAGGATGACGGCGTCCAGATGATGCTCGAATCTGTTCCTCCCTCTATTACGCACATCCACGACGGCTGTGCGGAACAGTGGCTGTACGAAAGAAAGTGAAGAATAGATTTGAGCAGGCGATGCGTGAGAAGGTAACCGAGACTATGCTTCAAGCTTCATATCGGGAGAGGAGCTTTCGAGGTAGTTTCTGCAGTTACTCAAACTTTCTCTTTCCCCTTCCCTTTTTCAAAAGAACACGTCAGCCGGCGCTAACGTTTCATCTCGGGAGAAGCCCACTTTTCGCAAATGGTTATAGTTGACAAGGAGGCTGACTTCGACCCAACTAGTCTCTGGGCAGAATACAAACACAAGTATATTTACCAACACGCTCGTCCTAATGTCAGTCTCCGGGCTTTGCTGTTTCCAAAAGAGATAACCCTTTATAAGGACAGAACGAGCGGGTTGGTGGGAATAATTAAACGTAAACACTCCCTTCTCGTTTTCTTCCTCAAGTTTAATAGATAACCCTTCGGTGCTATCGGATCTCCCCGGAGAGAGAGAGTGAGCACGGCCGTTTCAAGGTAAGGATAGGGCGCTCGAAGCTAGGGCAAACAGGCGGCATCGTTTCACGCATGCACGGATGTCTGGTTTCAAATTTCCCCACATCCCTAACGAAACCGGCCCATCTTCGTGTGTGCGTCTGCGGGATTTGTTTCGCGCCGTCGGTTTTAGCGCGCACGCGGCGTTGTTTTCGCTGGCAGAACAGTTGTTGACCGTCGACATTGTAAGGCTGTGGTGTCCTCATCCTTTCAGGCAACGATTCCTTTGCTTTCCCTTGTGCAATACTCTGACAGACTCCTCCTGGGTGGCTGTCAGTGTTCGCCGCGTCAACGACACAATCGTACCATTTCACTCCTCGTGACACAGGGTGCGCTGCTCGCTTTACTGTCACGGGCCGTCCTATCTAACACAACTAGCGCGAAAGGTCGTGGTCATCTGCTGGCTCCGAAAGGGCGGGACGCTCATGCAGGCCAATGAGGGCCCCGAATCAATAAGACGTCTGCCGACTCCTACACTTTAAAAATTTACGACACCTGCTGGTCTGTTAAGAAGTGTTGCTTTCTCTTTTTGGAACTCCTTCGATGTAGCTTGCCGCCTATAATATAATTTAAATAATCAATAAATATATCAGGGTGGAAATACTGTATTTAATTTTTATGTGGGAACATTGAAAAAAAAAAAAACTATTTCCAAGCTTGTGAAGACGCGCAATTCGCGAGTCCATTTCAAGCCGTAAAAACACGTTTTTGTACGATATTGATGCTTAAATGTTGAACATACAAACAAAATATACACTTTCTAGGATTGATTTTCGTGTAGACAACTATCATATCTATATTTGAACAAAAAATAAAAAAAATAAAAAATGGGTTTTTTGAGAAAATCAATTTCAAAAATGGTACTTTTTGGTTTTTTTATGATATTAACGTAAACGTACCGCAAAGGATATTTTATACAGCCAAGGAATTTTATAATAAATATAAATAGCGTGTTTTGGGCTCTCCGTGGACATAAAAAATATCGATGTAACCCAAGTAGATCGCCAGTAATTAATTGTCAAAGTTCGTCAACAATTGACCGAGGAGGCGTTTTTGACATTTTTACAGAAAAAAAGCAAAAGGCCTAAAATTATTTCATGGTATTGGAGCCTTTTAAATGTGTCCACAGAGTGCTTCAAAAAAGATAATATAATGTGGACTGAAAATCCACGGCGGGAGATCAAGCGAAACATCCGACCCACGACGGGTGTGAAAAACACTGCTTTTCGCCGCGGCCTCTTTAAAAATTCGTAAGTCGAGAACGAAAAATCCGACGAACTTGCGGTTTGTGTCAACTGCGGTTTTAGAAACGGCGCCATAACATATATTTTTTTCATCGAAATTACAAATTCGACCCTTTTTGCCTGCACGATTTGAGATGAAACCGCCCATATATATATATATATATATATATACAGGGTGTTTTTTTTATTCTTGCACATTTGTTATAAAAATACCGTTAAAGCTACACTAATGCGGTTTGTGCAAGTGGGTTATACGGCCAGGCGGACATTATGTGGGTGGCTAATCTTAGCGATAAGTCGGCTAATTAATTAAAATTCGTTAATTAACTTTTTAATTAGTGGAAATAAACATACAGTTCCAATTAGGAACTTGCTGAGCATAATCGAAAACCACTAGATCAACTATTTTTGGAAGGATATAACGCCGGGGAAGCATTTTACGGCGTTTTGTAAAAGCGTTCCATTTGGACGCATTTCTAGATTTCGGTTTCTTATCGGAGCGCATCACCGCGCCCGCGGCCCCTGCTCCCCAGTGGCTGAGACGCGAAACACACGTGCGCCGTACT